AAATGACCTTATTTTCCCCCCCGCTGAAGCGGAGCCGGTGCAGTGCGGGATGAGGGAGCAGCCAGCCGGGGTGTAAATGCTTGTCACTGGGGCATGAGAGGTGGGCTTTGCTCTAATAGATTAAACTATGGGTTTTTTTTTTTTCTGCATGTTGAATGTAACAAAGGGAAAAACATTTGCGTCACCCAGCTCTTGGAAAAATGAAGCTGAAAATGGCATTTTTAAGCCTCGAAAGTGCAAAGAGCCACCCAGGCTGTCGGGCAGGGGTGAGCGCAGGCGATCGCAGCGTGTTTTAATGCTCGTGTTGGTCTTTGGTGGCAGCAAGGTGACACAGCGAGAGCGAAGGGGAGCGGGAACCAGCCCTGGCAGCAGCCCCCGTGCCTTCGCTGCTCTGGCCGGCTCAAGCCCTGGGACCTGCTGGGACTCCGGCCCGGAGGAGCTGTGGAAGAGCCGGCCTGGTCAAGGGATGGGGAAATAAAGTCCTGCTTTTAATTTCTGATCACGCTGCAAGGTTAGAAAATATGATTGGATTTGTTATCCTCCTTATCCCGCTGTCTGATGCCCAGCTGCTGCTCCCAATCCCCGGCGCAGCCCCAGGGATGCTGCAGGGCTGGGAACGGTCGGTGTGACCGGGGCAGCACCACGCAGGGCACCTATTTTCTGCCACGGTTATTTTATCCGTCCAGGACTGGAGAAACTTTTAATATTAAATTGCCCTTTCTGTGGCTTTCTTCGCAGGCAACGCCTGGCTTAGCCAGAGGGATGTGCTTGGTGATGAGACCCGCAGGGTGTAATCCCATCAGCGGGGTCCGTGAGCAGCAGGATGGGACCGTGGTGCTGTCGCAGGCCCGATCCTGCACCGCTGCCCAGGGCAGCGTGAGCAATGGGGCAAAGAACTGGCCCTTCTTTCCTTTCCTTTCCTAGCAGAATTAGCTTTAATGTTGCCCGTGTTCCTGCACACGGAGGGGCTGGTTGGTCCTGGACAGCGCGGGTCGGTGCGCCCGCAGCGCTGGGGGGTTGTGCTGGGTCCCCAAAATGCCCTGAGCGAGCACAGCGCCAGGAGGCCTCGGAGATCGGGTACGACCAGCAGTTTGCAGCCACGTCGCGCCTGTCCCCCCTCCCAAAAAAATGTTCAGGCCGTGCCCTGAGCCCTGCCGGGACCCGGGTGCTGGGCACAGCAGTTGTTCTCCATCCCAGGGCCTGACCCTGCATCCCGCTCACCGCACCGGTGCCAGCAGAAAGACAGTCAAAACCAGGACTAGGAATCAGTGTCCAGGTGTTAATTATTTTTATTTCTTTTAAAGGACAGCCGAGCACTTCAGGGAAGAGCCCAGGGGTGCAGCGTGTGGCTCCCTGCTCGCAGGAGGCAGCCGGGCAAGGGGAC